AAGGGTATGGCTCAAGACAGAAAATGGAATAAAATCTGTTCAGAAGATATCTACACTTTCTACATATTTTATAGAATATTTCTCATTTACATTATACTTATCATATTTTGGTATCGATTTTTATAAATTATTAATTATTAAAAGGAGTATTAAATCTCAGTACAAATATTTATCTCTAACATTCGATCTTTAAAAGGCAGATATATTTAAGGTTTTAGTCTGGAGTTTCACTTTTAATAGATTGCGCTGAAGTTGTTTGGATCTTAATTTACCTATACATATATAAATTAATATAACAACCGATTACGATTTCGTTTATACTTGGAGCACGAAATAATACGTAAGTGTGTTGCTTTCGTATTAATTAAAACCAATTTATTTTCAGATTTCACATCATAATCAACGATCAAGATAATGAAACTACAGACCGTTGTAAAATAATGTACAACAAAAAATAAAATTAAAAATATCAAAAATGTATCGTTTTATCGAAGTTGTAAATTTCCATTATTTATGTACAGCAAATATTTATTTACAATTTTTTTTTTTTTTTATTAAATAATATTAATTAAAATCATTATTAACATTCACAATATACCTAATGCGTACAATTGCAGACGTGCAATTTACTCATGTAGGTTTTATTAATTTAATAATATTATAACTATGATAAAATAATATATTATGTATTATCATTTAGTGCCCCGAACGCTACTTATGTAATTTTTGTTTGCATAAAAAAAAAATAAATACCACTTGTGTTTAAATAAGTACTTAATATGTTGTAAATCGTATGTTATCGTTTGTTAAAATATGGACTTAATAATTGTTCTCGAGGACGTTTGAAATATATCCAAAGAAAAATATATTCGTGGATGACAATCGTTATAACAATTCATTTAGATCATGCGAATATTAGAGAACCGTACTGTTTGTTTAGAAGATGTTTTTTTTTTCGAATGTTAACTTGGCAACTCGTACGCTTTCATATAAAATTATTATTATATTATTATCGTTTAAGTATATGTTGTTTATTTTTATCCCATAGATTTGAGCTTTGATAGACACTCATATTATCAGCTATTAACTACCTATTAAATATTACGATGTTATAACATAAGTGTTTTATTTTAGTGTTTAATAATTTATTGTGTTATATTTATTTTAGGTTGTAATATTGTTTTAATTAAAAATAACGTGTTTATCAATATCAATCAGGATTTCGTTTATTTTTTCTCCAAATAATATTATCACAAATTATTATGGAACGGTACCCATAACAATGTGTATCTTATGTGAATTATTTTTATGTCAGATACGGCGAGTAGGTATACAACAGGTTATTATATAGCTTGTCGATTATCAGCTCATCCAAAAACTGCAGTTTTAAAAATATATTTTAATTAATGTATATTTTTATCTTTACGACTATTTAATTTCTTTTTTTTTATTATTCGTGGTACAGCTTCAACTGCTAAGGTTATCAGTTTGCAAACAAAAAATGAGGTATTTAGTTACATATAAATGATACAATAGTTTCTTAAATAAGTATTTTTGTTACATATAAATATACTGGCTCCTTAAATTAGGTTGTACGTATCAATTTGCTTAAGGAATGCTATTTGTTTGTTGGTGTTGTCATGGATTGGGTTGAGGGCTTCGAAGATGTTGTCGGGTATTTCAAGTCTTTTCCTTTTATCTGCTACTATTTAATTATATATATATAAGTAATATCATATTCTTATTCGTAAATATAATATTATGTTATACCAACTACTGAAATATGGCTTTAACTTAGAAAGTTATAGCTGTAATGGCACGTCATGTATTATTTATAATAATAATGTTATTGTTCCTCGCCCGTTACGCCCTCCTCCGATAACCAATGGCTAAGTTGTTTATCACCCATAGAGGCCGGGGGTACCTACATTCATAACACGGATATAGATACTATGGTTGCACGACGGCCTATATATGTAAATCTTCATTATGGGATATTCTTAATGAACGATCAGCCACTATTAAACATATGGAGGGCCAAATAGATTATGTTTTGAGAGAAGTGAGCTTATTTATTTATTTTTATGATAACTGAAATGAGATTAATTTAAAATTAAAATATTTTTTTTAGATACAGGAATATTTAAAACTACCACTGATTTCTCCAACATCAAATCCTTTAACTTGGTGGAGCTCTAACCAAACTACATTCCCAAATTTATTACCAGTTGCAATGAAATATCTAGGTATTCCTGCCACGTCTGTTTGCTCTGAGCGCATGTTCTCTAAAGCAGGACAAATTGTTACCAAGAGGAGACAGAGACTTAGTCCTGGATCAGTAGAACAATTAGTATTTCTACATGATAATTTATAAATTAATTAATGATATTTTATATACCTATATTTTAAAAATAAATAATAAATATTATGTATTATGTATATTTCAATTTTCAATTTTATTTGTTTTCTTAATAATTAATTATTAAATTATTATTATTTATTGTGTACCTATGTAAAAAAAAAATAAGAAGAAATCATCTAAATTTATTATAAATACAATTACATAAACTTAAAACTTTAAAAGTTTAAATGTAGAATAGGTAGGTAATACAAACATTTTAAATACAATAGTAATTTATTACTAAATACTAATTAATAATTGTGGTTGATTTCATTGTAGGCTGGTACATGTACAGGATAAAGTTTTTCGATTCGTGTTCGACTTAAAATGATTCTAGGTTCGGTTCGGTTCGGTTCGGTAGAAAATATTACGGTTCGGTTCGGTTCGGGTTCGAAAAAATAATTTAAAGTTCGGTTCAAGTTCGGTTCGATTAAAAAAATCAGCGTTCGACCCATCACTACTGTTTATATTTTATGATAAAAGTTGAAGACTCATTATTCATTAAACATTTAACATTTTAAACTGATTACAATAGATTTGATAAATAGAATCGTATACTAATATTATACTATTCAACTGTACTACCTATGTAATGGCAGTGAAGGTCAATTATACATTAAACGGTATTCGATTAGGTAATCTAGACAAGCCTAAATCGAGAATGGTAATATTACTTGAAAAACAAATTTAAATCTTTGTAGGAGACGCTTATTTGTATTAGGTAACTTTAGTTTTTATTTTATTGTGGCCTCGTCACATGGGGACTAAACCGTTCGCCTTGGACCACCATCGTTTATTGAATTAATCAATATCAAATATTTACAACACTGATTGCCCATTTGCCCCAATAAAAGTCTAAACTTGCTCTTCTTGAACTCCCTTCAAAACTTTCCATGGTAGACGTTGGGACGAATTTAAGTTCCTAGTGTCCCTACATGAGATCTAGACGGTTACAAAAATACCTACATAATATGTACCTATATGCTTCTACAAGGTAGAAAAAATGATATTTTATGTAAGTTTACACACTATATAACGTTCATCTGTTATTATTGGAATATGGTAGTATGTAGGTATATTATGTGGGCTGTAGACCCATAAGCATTTTAACCAGTACGCCTATGGGGATAGTACAGTATAATAACGTTATCTGGAAGGTTCAAGGGACAGGCCCCGACCCACCCGCTTTACACGTTTGTCTAAAACTCAAGGCAAGGTCCAAATCATCTGCTTCTCAAGCTGGCCTAAGAAAGGGTAAATAAGTGTATTAAGGTTCAATTATAGTGGTGAGCAAGTAAATTAATTATTACGATACCGTTGACGTGATAAAATGCCATTTTGCTTCAAATGCAGGGGGATGTATGGTTGTGTTGATATAAACTAAATATTATCCGAGTAATAGTCGATTAAACACCAAGTGGAGAATAGTTTTCCATTCAATCAGTATTAGATATTCGCTTTCATTCGTCGTTGGACAAATATGTACAAATTTCAATATTACTATATATGTATAATAGTGACTAAATTGTTGAACTGCGGAAGGAATTCCTTAGGTGCCTATACTCTTCAAGGATATTTGGTATACTGTCTGTGTGAAATTATAAATTAGATATTACCCGGGTGATTTTGCCTTTACTCGTGGCTTATAATAATTATTATTATACAACGGCCCGTCACACCAAAATAATATAATACCTAATACAAACATTCACAGGAATCTCTCACCTTGATATTATACAACGGGATATTAGTATAATAATAGCATTGATGACCAACCTATACTAAAATAGTTATTACTTAGATGCGTTATTTCTTAGCCTATACAAATTTTCCGTAGTCAGGATTTCTCTGCATATGACAATCATGATATCATCAATAATATCACGTCTGCAAGGTCCAGTATTCCTGTCAATTGCCTAATGGTAAAATATTTATAAGCCAATTGATCGAGTCATTAGTTCGTATATTAAACAAAAATGTACATAATAAAAATGAATGTTACATAAATAAATAATAAAAAAAAATAGGACAGATAATCTTTTAAATAAAAAGAAGCAGGTGTAATTTGACATGAGTCATTTAAAAAAAAATGCGAAACTATATACGTTTGAGGCGCATATTTTAACAAAATTATATAACATTGTTTGAGTAAAAATAAAACTGTCATGATAAAAAAAAAAAAAAAAATGAACAAATAAACATAATATTAATAATAATTTCGGAGATTCACTACCGCCGATGATGTGTTTTATCAACATTGTGAAACATTTTGAAATTGTCCTCTGATCATTTTTGTGTAGGTTATATTGTTATATTTTGAAGGTAATGGTAAAAGGTCAATTTTTTTTTTTTGTAAAAATGCATAAAACGACGTTTGTATTATAGGTGTGTTGTATTGTACAACAAAATAATTGTAGTCTCTCGCTCCATTATCTAAATTTTTCTAACTCGTTTACACACACGTAAACGCACTATGTACACACTACACACTCACTCTCACTTTCTATATCTTTGTCTGTCTCTCTCCCCCATACACCCATCCCCTATACTTTCCACCCCCCCCCCACATCCCACCTATCACCCGCCAACTCCCCCAGCTCTAATATACTTGGATTTCATAACGTATCTGCTTCATATACGTCTCGTCCAAGATCCGCCGCTGGTTCAACCGTTCCACGCTGTACCGGAGTCCGTAGAACAGGTAAATCAGCAAGCCGATGAACAGCCAGACGGTGAATCGTATCCAGGTGGACGTGTCCAGTTGCGTCATTAAGTAGATGTTGAGGACGACGCTCAGGCAAGGCACGAATGGGACGCAAGGCACCTGTGAAACGAAGACGAAACGAGTTGGCTATTAATAACGTTAAACCGAGAGGACGAAATAAACAAGCCGTCAGTATTTTAGCCGAAAAATATCTCATCCGAAAATAATTTAACTAAAGATATCTAGGCTGGATATTAATTTGACTAAATGTAAATATCAGACAATAAACATTTTAATAGACAAATAGGTATATCAGGCTGCTTCTTTATGAACTTGATTTAGATATTCCAGGTTGTTCATTTCAAAGTACATTTTAATAAACGATGACATACTATTATTTATCAAGGCTGGGCAAGTCAATGATTTTTTTAACACAGTTGAGTTAAGTTAATATGCGTCAATAACAAAAAGTTAAAAGTTAATTTAACTATAGGTTAACTCAGTTAAGTTAAAAGTTACAGTAGAAACTCAATAATCTGGACTGATTGGGGCTGTAGGTTGTCCGAATTAATGAAAGTCCGGATTCAACAAAATAACCAAAATACGTGTATGTATCAACGTATGATAGAATTAAGAACATGTATTATGTAATTGACAATTGGATGACGTGATTGACAATTTGTTTTTGATATATTTTGTAGAAATAATCGTGATCACATGCATATGTATGGGAAATTCGTTGAATTCCCTTTCATGTTTATTTTAGTGTGCGTCTCAAACTACGAGTTTAAGTGTTATTGAACGACTGTCCGGATTAAGCGAAGTCCGGACTATTGGGGTCCAGATTAATGTGGTTTTACTGAATACACACTTTTTGTTAACTTTTTATATAGTTAAAAAAAAAGTTAATTTGCTTATACAACACTAGCGTAGGTACCTACCTACTTAATTTTTTTCAACCCAAAACTAAATTATAAACTTTAGTGTTTATACTTTATACAGTATTTCGATATAAGTTAGATTCAAATGATATACATTTTTAACTTCAAACAACTCACGGTAAATATTTTTTGACATGAAAATGAAATAGACTGAAATAGTGAAGTATAATAAAATTAAAAACAAAATAAATTAACTTAACTTACTTCTTAAAATTAAAAATTAATTCGTTAATTTCACGTTAATTAAAAAAGAAATTTAATAAGTTAACAGTTAAGTTAATGAAACGTCAAAAGTAACTAGTTAAGTTAAAACGTTTAAATTAAATTAACTTTTTAACTCGGTAGTGCTCAGCCTTGTCATTTATAATGTAGGTATCTTTTTATATATTTTTAAGTAACACCTCAAAATTTAAAATACAGTGTTAAATTAGATATCCAAACATTTTTGTTGAAAGTTGGAATAATACTACATTATATATAATAATATATTAACCGTTTCCTACTAACCTAACCTACTTAGTACGTTGCATAAAATTATTGCACAAGTTTTAGACACACAATAAAACTTTTTTTACTTAGTTCCTACCTATGTTTTGGATATCACAACCTATACCTAAGTAATAATATTTAAAAATATTACGGTTTTTTTTTAAAAAAAATAGAAAACATTTAATATGTTTATTCTATTTTATGTTTTAAATACATAGTGTGATCGCAATGGTTTTGATTCTATTAACCAGTCGATTCCATAAAGCATTATTTTTTTCAATATAATAATTGTTTGGGATTTTCATTTTTGATTCCAATAAACGGTTATTGGTTCTATAAACCAGTGATCACATTAAGCGGAGCTCCCTGTATATTATAATTATGGTTAATTGCAATACCAATACATTTTATGTACCGCATGCATGAATTATTAGATTGTGTCTACTTAGTATTGTATTAAATATTTATGACTTGCCTACTTATAGCGATTCAAATAATAATTTTGTAATAAAAAATAAAAGCAATTTTTAACATGCAAGATATTAGTACATAGTTACCTAACTATTTGCTTACCTAATTATATAAATTATTTGAGTTCACATTGTACATTTGTACCTATAAATATTTAACCACTATAAGCGTACCTATTTCGTGTAGGCGTACTGATTATGTATACAATATTACTATCCAACAGCACTCAGCACATAATATTTTTTTTAATAAAATTGTAAAATATTAATGTTAATCATAATTCATAAGATAACTTTATCTTTGATGTGGCGTTTTTATTTTTACCACAGCGAAAATAACTTTTAAATTGATAATTAATTTGTAAACAATCGTTATAATTTTTAAAAATGTTGCTTAATAATTAAACTTATACACAGAATTATTAAACCGAAAAGATCATGGTCGATATATTACAAAATATATATACGAAATTCTCATCTATATCTCCAAGGATATATTGCGAATAATCCAGTACCAACTACCATCTATATTCTCAATTGTTCGCTGTATTACATTCTCATAAGTCCATATCATGCACATCAATATTATACCTTTTAAGCCACCTACTTAGAGCGTAGGTAGTTATCGCTGATGTTTTATTTCTATTCCTTATATTTTATATTTGTCACTATTTGATATGTATTCTCCAACAAATAACTACATGTACGTTGTACTGAATATAGCAAACTGTGTCTAATTGGTGATGAGCAGTCCGCTTTATAATATTTTGTTCAATAAAGTTGCTTATATAACACAAATTTGGCGTTTCTATAGTGTATGTTCGTGGGTTCATTAGTTCGGGACAACAGTTCCACGTGCCATTTTATTATCGAAATTTCTAAGAAAATGTGAATACCTAGTTAAAAGATAAATCGCATAACGACCCTTAAAAACGAAATTGAACAAATGTATTATCTTGGTACCTATATATACATCCGTGACTCCGGCACGTGGCACGTGGTTTTTATTTCAATATTCTCTATAATTATAAAATAGCACAGTGAACCAGTGAACGTCTAGTTATGACTGTTGTATACAATATATATTATATACCTAAGTAGGTACTATTGATATAAACACAATATTGTTCGTTAAAATTATGATTCGTTTGCAACCATAATATAATAGAACATAATATGACAACCATCATGAATTAAAAATAATAAAATAAAAATATAACTATAATTATTATTATAATATATAATTACGTGGAATGTAGGCCGGTTTGTAGACTGTGGTTGTCTTGATAACGAATAGCAAAGCACCAACAAAAGCACTCCGGAAACGATGCATGCCGCATACGTGACCATGTTGAACTTTCCATCGGCTTGGGCAATAGAGACGGACGAGCAGAAGCATATGGCCACGACGACTGACATAAAAAAAAAAAAGTTTGATTATAGGTATACCAATATTACCATATTATAGTCTATAGACATATTTTGTAAACAAGAGAAAATCATATATTTTTCCCATAAATATTATATACATAATATATCCGTTTTAAACTATAAAAATTGAAGCCGTCTGCACTTTTACGTAAATTGAAAATTAAAATTAGAAAGTGACTTTTGTACAGATTATAGTATCACAACAAAAACCCTTGGTAAACTACGTGTAAAAATGGCTAATTAAAAAAAAATAGAAGATCTTTAAGCACTATAAAGATGTGATATCATGAAAAAATGATAAGTACTTATATTGAATTTAAGTAAACTTATTTTGTTTCAATAATTTATTTATTTACTTGGAGAGGAATTATTTCATAAAAGAAACAAAGTGTGATGAACAAAATAATTGAATAGCGAAGGACTATTAAAATATAACTTTTATTATTTTAAAAATATTATTATTAATATTTATATACTATTCTAAATAATTGATAGCCAAGTACCTAAATAAATTATTGAAACAAAATAAGTTTACTTAAACTCAATATAAGTACTTAGCATTTATTCATGATATCACATCTCTATACAGTGCTTAAAGATCTTATATTTTTTTTACTTAGCCATTTTTACACGTAGCTAACGAAGGGTTTTTGTTGTTATATCACTAATTTTTATCTATGAAATAGAATATGGCAACGCTGATGCAGCTACCGTGATTCTGAATTTAATATAAATCCCCATTAAAAAGCTTTTTCATTTATAACTTAATTTCTAAAAGTATGATTTTGAAGATTTTTACAAAAGCACTTTCTTCACAATATTTCTGATGTTTTGGAGTTTACTAGGAGTTAATTGATGCATTAGCAAATTAGTTATGTAGTATAACAAATTTACCTGTATTTTACACAGTTTAAATAGGCAAACTCCTTTTTCGATATACTACACACCCACCGTCGTGCAGTTATTAATTTTTTTTTTACTTAGCTCGCGTCCACGACTGTGGGAGATGGATTATTATTTTAAATGTACATAATATTTTAATGATTATTGCGTTTAAAAATCACTATTCCGAGTAGATCTCGACTTAATAATATTCTTATAGGACGCACTACAGATCATAACCAATTAAACATTCATTCAATAAATAAAAAAAAACAGTATCTCGGATATCAACTTCTTGAATGTCCGTCGTGATAACGTCATAAATTTAGACTTTGAAAATTTAAACAATCATTAGGTACGCCTTAAGATGTCAATGCCCTAAATTATTGTTCTAATCTGGGGATTTTCATCGGCGTAAAATATTTTGTGATTTTATGTTTACTGGAAAAACGCAATGAAAAAAATAAAGTTGATTAATCTAAAACAAGGAAATACGTGTAATTATGTTTTGTAAACATAATGATATTATGATGTCACTCAAAAGATAAACATATAGTGAGAGACGGTCGTTCGGGCAGTAAACCTCGACCACCCACTGCATGTTGGTTACGCCACTGCAGATTTTATCTTTGGATGGATAAAATTTATATTTAATATGACACATGTGATTAGTTTTAAGTCAAATTGTTTATACGTTTATTTGTGATGTTAATTCCGGGAATTTACAATTACTTCGTCAGGAGGTCAATCGCGCGATTTTGACGTGAAACACGTTGGCGGACAAACCAATAGAATTTTTTTTAACATTTTTCTATAATCGACTAATGGATTGACATTAACATGGTGTCAAGTTATGTGTAGGTTTCATTACTTTATTAACAATTATTAATTATTATTTAAATTCCAGGCGTGGCAAGTGTGTTGGATATATGCAAAAAAACCGCAAATCGAAAAAAAAAATGTAATAATTATAATTATATTGTAAAGGATATAAAATTAACAAATGCAAAAATTAAACCATCCCACGCAAAACTAATTCGCCGATTATTCGGAATTATTTTAAATCACTAAAGGTAAATGATTCCTAAATGTATAATATATGTACTCACAGTTAAAAGTAGTTTTTTAAATATATCCGTACCTAATTATAAGGCGTGCTTGAAAACGGTTGATAACCAAATACCTAGTATGGTAATTTGGCGAGCAACGATTTCGTGTCCCTAAAATAAATTTGAACTCAATAATACTACGAGTGAATGATACTTACGGTAAACCAGAATAATTTTGACCGAGGTACGACCAGTGTTTTTTGTTGTAATCTGTGAATTTGGGAGATTGAAACTGGATGATAATAGTCTCATGAGAGATACGCGAAACCGTCCGTTGTCTCTGACCTTACACTCTTCGGAATCATCGTTTGTGTACCTCAAAATCAGAACACAAATGCACACCAGCGAGTACGCCATCAACGTACCGATCGACATCATGTTCATCAACTGTTGGAGATCGAAAAGACTGGACAAAACCGCTAAACACATACAAATTGTTTGTCATACTAATTTATTTTACTTATACAATATTGTTATATTTTGTCGAGTATGTTACGATATTATAGGTACCTAGGTACAGGTATTATGGGTAGCGAAAGTATACAGAACAGATTGATTTTACTAGAACAGACGAACATTATCAGCTGTATTTATTCAAATTATGATGATATTATTGTATTTTCGGAGCTATCAAATTATATTTCAATAACATATCATGGTTAAAGGTTTTTGAATTTTGTTTTGGAAAGAAAAAAATAACCTCATAAGTTGTTTGGATTGGGAATCGGTAAAGTTCATATCGTACAATCAATCTTATAACATTAACATTAAATAATAAATCGAATCGACCAATATAGTTAGTGACTAGTATGGGTTTAATATGAAAAACTATAAAATCGAAATGTTTGACAGATGGATAGCAAATTGTTTGAATGTTTAGGCATCTCGTTTTGATTATTATGAAATACATATACTATTATTATATATTATAACAAATCGCATCATATACGTTTATATTGTGTATACATTTTACTTGTAACCGTACTTACCAGCAAATACTCCACATATTAATGTACCCCAAAATGGAGTTTTTGTCTTGGAATCAACTTTGGAAAAAATGTGAAACAATAACCCGTCGGATGCCATGGAGTACAATATTCTGGGTAACGGAAACAGCGTACCGATCATGCTAAAAACAAGATTTATTAGCATATTGCGTACGAAATGTCAATTGTATATGGTCTGCCGTTTGCAGGTATAATAATATAATATAACATTAATATACATGGCCCGTGGAATGATTGATAATGTACGTATTCAGGTATAAAGAAAAATAAAGGCGCCAGTCCACATCGATGAGTGGGTTTGTCTTTTTTTTATTGGAAGTATTCCATACAAACTTCAACCACGCTAAATGTTGACATGTGCGCATAATATACGAATCAACGACCACCTGAGGTTTTTTGCAATCAGCTCCACGGTCTCTTCTCCCACGCACATGCTATGTTTAGTGCGAACAGTTTTAAGACCATAAGATTATATACCGAATATACCAGTGTACCCACTTATGGTGCATGCGTGTCGTATAATACATCATATTAAAATAATATGATACATTCATTTATTATAATACTATATTATACTACCGGGTTTTTTTTTAATGGATGTTTATGGTTAATGTACATGTACCAGGTATATCATCGTATACCTATTATATTATAAGTACCTAGTAATTACGTGGCCAACTGGTCGTACTGTTACAACTTACAAATCGTGTAGGCAAAAATGCGAAATGGCACATAGCATAATATTAACGATTACTTGTTAGAAAAAAAAATAGTTATAGTTTTGGTTAACGTAAATAGCTTTTGTACATACTTTGTGCATAGAGCAAACACCGCTCCGATTGTAACGATCCATTCCAGGGCATGCCATCCCAACTCTTGGTATATATGTGGGAATGGAGCTTCTGGATCCTTGTATAAAAGAAAAGTAAAACGAATATTGAAACGTAATAATAAATCAAGGACAAAATGTCCAACGGTTAAATAATTCCATTGTTAAAACCCGACCAATTGGACAAAGAATCCAAAATTTAAAATAAAATAATATTAATATATTTTGACTCGGATATTTTAGCAAATTATATTTTGTCCTTGAATATTTTTTCCCAACTCTCGTTATGATTTTATGACTTGAGTAAGTTTAGTAAATTTGATAGAAAAAAGTAAAAGTTCAATCTCCCTTACCATTTAATTATATGTACGTCCAGACAGTTATTTTATTTATTATTTTCCGACGGTAAAAATTAACAATGTTCTAAAAATAAAACTACAATAGTAATATATCTTAATTGGATATATTATTTGTAAACATAATATAACCACTAATTTGAAAAAAAAAACCATACAAAATCAATTACTGAAATTATAATTTGTTTATTTAAACTCAAACTTGTCGTCTGTCAAATTTTAAAATTGTTTTTATTACCTTGACAAATTAACTCTATTTGTATGAAAAAAATAAAACTATAAAATAACTATACTAAAACTGCATTGATTAAATATCCAAAAGGTTCATAAACAAATTACTTGTTGATAAAAACAACGCATTAAATTACAAGTAAATGTGTATTTTCTAGAGCATAGAGGAAATATAAAATAACATCAACATTTGTCTTGCTTGATATTTTCAAAAAAAAAATTAACTAATATTTAATGAATCTAATTATTAAATACAGTGAAACCTCAATAACTCGAATCGGTTGGGGAGAAAAAAAAAATTGAGTTATAGAAAAAATTGTGTATACTTATTGAAATGCAGGGGCGAAGATCTTCGAGTCATCGAAAATACGACTTATAGACGTTCGAGTTATCGATGTTCCACTGTAGTTTTACTCCGAAAGTCAAAATTCTTTAGGAAATTTAGGCCCTTAATTCTGTTTGAATAAAATCTCATCAGAACCCAGATGAGAACCAATCAAGTTAATCAAAGTATATTGAAACATTTCTCAAATGACACTGAAATTCAAGTATTACAGATTGTTTAAACTTTGAACCAGTAAAACTTGCAAACAATATGTTGACTCAACACTGTAGCCTTCGTGTTTTTTTCATTCTGTAACTTCAGACGGGTCTATGAAATAAATACAATATGCCATATCCAGGCACCTAATGAAGTAAAAAAAAATACTATATACCTATCGAATAGGCAGTGTTGTAAAGTATTTGAGTAAAAGTATTTGAGTAAAAGTATTCAAATACTTTTTTCCGTATTGAATACTTTTTCAAATACTTTTATTTTTGAAGTATTTGAACGGTATTTTAAATACATTTTTTTACTATTGAATACTATTTTATTGAATACTTTTTTTATTCCTTCAACTTTTTATTCATTGTCAAATAATAATAATGTCTTAATAATATTATAATATATATTTATCATTTATGAACAATTCTATATTGGTTTTAGTTTTCGTCTATTAATAGCTAATTAATATTAGTTAGGTACTCTGAGAAACCGTCTGTTTATCGTCGACACTCGACGACGATTGGAACGGTACGTTTCGGTACCTACTACCTACCAATATAGTATATTATCATAGGGAAATATAATACGAACATTAGGTAGGTAAGGTATGTCGTATACGTGCGTATTTTTTTGTTTTGTATTTGAAAATTATTTCAAATACTTCTAAAAAGTATTTGAGTAATACTCAAATACTTTACAATAGATAGTATTTGGGTGGTATTTTAAATACTTTATTTTATAAGTATTTGAGTAATTACTCAAATACTTTTTAAAAGTATTTTTTACAACACTGCGAATAGGATTGGGCTCACCTCAAAATTGCCTATAGAACATCTATGAAATGCCGCTGATCGTCTGAACTTCAATAACTTATGTTTGTCTAAATTCAATTCGACTTCGACACAATACTGAATCGGAAGAAAATTTCCTACTGTTTACGTTTTATTTTCTACAATTTCAGTGAAACAAACAAAATGGATAAATTGGAAAAAGAATATCAAAGTCGCAATATTCTAACATCATTCAACCGCATTTTGATATCAAATGTGCATGAATAATTTTAAAAAGCAGCCACGCATAAAGATTTCCTCTGCTATATTATAATTTATAATAATCTATTTAGATTTAAATAAACTACAGACACGACTAGATTCCAAAACAAAATTTATCGTAATAAATCAATTCAGAGTCGATAAATTATTTTATATTCTTCAAAAACTTAATAACAATACAGTACCTATTATAGTTTTATTTTTTATATTATAACAACAAATAAATTGAACTAACTTGTTCACAACGCAAACAAAATAATAGATACACCACTAACCGATGTCAAAAATAAAATGCATTTACGAATAACATAAATAAATTACAACTATCGGACAAACAGACATTTAATTTATTAATTTAATATTTTAAAATGCTGTCATTTTATTATCTATAGACCATAGTCTATATTTACTTTAAAAAAATAAATAATCGATTTTATTGTATGTAGGTATCAGGACTATACATGGGTGGATTGCCCCACATGGGAATTCGGAACTTTTCCCGATGGACTTTGCGGTAGGTACAAAATAAGCTGTTTTGATTTTTTCTAATTATTTTCAAACGAATTTAATCACTCAAAAATAAGATTTATAAAAATAACAACTATCTTGGGTGCATATATTATCGTTGGACGCAATTTACCTATCAATTATAATTTTGGATTCAAATGTATAGTAAGCACAGTATAACTATAGTACCTAAACTGTATAATATTATTATATACTAGTAGGTATCATGTAATTTATTAATAAATTATAATATTGTTTTTAATAATTTGTAAATAATATTAAATATATTTTTTATGTGATTATCTGGTTAATGTGTTTGATAATCAAAGTAGGTATGCAGATTAGTGTGATTAGACTCAATTGCGAATAATGAATAAAAAAAAATTAAAAATATTACCATATCGGTTCCTAATTGTTGGAACAAAAGTCGTGTTGAATAATATATTATGTATGACTATATTATGTATGACCTACCCTGCCGATAACATTTGAACACACTTATGAACATATTATTTGTGAAGTAAAAATTAAATTAAATTAAGTTACCATATTGAAACTATTATATATTTTAGTCTTATTAGACCATTTCTAAAACGAATTGTGGAAGGTTATGATTTTCGATTAAAATGATATTATTTTGAATAAATAATTTCTTAAGAAAATAATTTAATACAAATACAAATCAGTTAATATGAAAAAAAAAGTGTCCATCAAGTGTTAACAACGACTGTGCTCAGATATATTTACAATATATTTCCCGCAGCGAAATATTTTACCAATCCACCTCTGGGTATATAATCTTAGGGGAGAGTGCGTTAATTATATGTCTCACACTCTCGACACCTCAAGTTGATCAACAAATTTTACGAATTAGAGCACATTCAGTAACACACAAGAGTTACTGAGTATCTTAGCTTAAAATTGTCACTTTATACAAATAAACAGCAATATAATACTATATGCACAGTCTTAAAAACAATTGTACAAATCTGCCATACCTAGGTACTTTATTGTATAAGTATTGGTTAACTGCAGTATAGGTACTATACTAATAAGGAGTTGATTGTTAAACAATAACGGTAATGACGAACTTAACGATTTATTTAATGTACCTACCGATGATACTATGCAAAACTAAATAATATTATTTCAATATATTATGGTTATCGTAAATTCAAGTGAATGTACATTCGACATTTTTGTTTCGATTTTTGGCAAACAGAACATGTTTTATCATGCTTAATGATGAACGTTATTGATTTATTGTAATTCAAAAATAGTGAACGCGTGAGAAAATGTAAAAGTCGGTATTGAATTATGCAAACACTGTGATTTGTCAACTATCGGTAAGACTGCTCCATGCCCAAAATAATTCTTGTTGCCAATTTAAAACATACCTTTAAATAATCGAACTTCTATATAGTCACCGTGACTATTGATGATTATTTGTAGGTATTTGAGATTGTATATTTCATCAAATCCAAACACACCTTCTGATGATTTTAATATAAATTGTTACATCTATAGGACTATATAGTTAAATCCTTGTGTCATCAATGTAATTATGTCTCAAGATACTGTTTTTAATTTACTGACATTACTTGTTTTGTAGAACAATTATTAATCTAGTGGAGTAATTTTTCAATAAGTACCTATTGAGGAATTTATTTTTTACAAGACTAGAAAACACGAGTAATTGACTATAATTAATAAATTAGACCAGTCTCACTCACAGTTCGAAATTCGACTAAACATTTTGACAAAACATCCAGTACCTACGCTATACGAAAGTTCAGACAAATACAAACTGAATCTTACGAATAATCTTATATCTTCGAATTATACTCTTATTCAATTTATACTGTGATGCAGAATCCTATAAAACAAAAATAAATGGACGTGAACTTAACACTTAATTTACATATAATACACGGACACGAACATTCAAAATTTAGTTCAATGAGCATGCGTATATTTTTGCAAGTGCACACTACACAGGTAAATTGAAGTAACGAAGTGTGTAGGTAGGCGAACTGTGCGTCTGTGCATAAATAAATTCTAAAGTAATGATGTATCGTGAAAAAATTGCCATTTCTTCTTAAATATATAGGGTATGGATTCACCAAGCGTGCTAACCCCAATTTTTTTTTTAATAATAATTTGTTAAAATTTTCATTTTTGGAATTATAAACATAAGTAATTATTATTAAAAACCATATTTTAAACTTTTAAACTTTTTTCTAGGTATTTAAAGAGTGTCCTGTGGTGATACAAACTTTTGTTTTTCATGAATAAATTCCCCTTTATTATTATAAATTATCTAGTGGATAATTTTTTTTTAAATTGGTTGGTCCCCTAATTAAACATTTTATAAAGCAGTTCCTTAGTTATTGAAATGTTTATACTAAGAGTCCTTAAATGAAAAAAAAAAATATATTATATTGTAATGTTGGATCTAGTATTATACTTGGGCCATCCTTACACATTATCTATAAATGTTGACATATTTATATTAATTACTAAAATATGCAATTCACTGTTGTCCCTATATCGTCCGAAGCCCATAGACCTATGAATTATTCTTATTAACAAATTACAAATTTTTCAGAAAAACTAAATAATTTACAGATGGAAAGTGATTCTCGTTTTAAAATCGTAAGTTAGTATGTTTACAGAACACTCCTTAATTAGTACAAAAAAATCTCAACAATTTTAAAATATGGTATTAAAGTATATTAAATAAGAATTTCAAATTTAATATTTTGAATAACTACATTATTAATGAAAAAAGAGGTGAGAATGGTTGATGAATCACCCTGTATATAAATTATGATTAGTAATTTTAACATATTTTAAAGTAGGTAGGTATAAGCTATACAACAGTTGTACCTGTTTATAGTATGGCCATATGAGTGTCAATATGATAGCTACGCTGCAATACGATAACGTGATGATGGATAACGATATAACTATTGCCAAAGGTATGTCTCTTGTAGGTCGTTTGGCTTCTTCACCTAGAATAATTCCAAAAACAAAATTGTATTAGTCGTCTGACAAATGTGAAAAGTCATAAAATGCACAAGTCGTCATTAAATGTGAGTATATGACGTAAAGTTCAATTTATAAATCCTCAAAACCATGTTGTCTACCCTATGTCTAACTCTAAAGTTGAAAATGTTTACCGGTAGTGGCTATGGCATCGAATCCGACAAATCCGTAAAAACACGTAGCGGCTCCTACAAACACTCCGGACCATCCAAATGGCAAAAATCCGCCTTCTCCGCCTTTAACATCTAGTGGTATATCCTCTTTTGGTATGTTCCAATTGTAAGTATCGACTGTAATTATTTACATAATCTATATAATATTATAACAATAGATTTGGTATGAATGCAAACCAAAGTGCAGTAAATTGTATTGCAGTTCGTTTATGCGCATCGCATTTAAGCGTTTAGCATTATTATATATTTTGTTAAATTACTTAGAAATTATTTTATCTAGATATTGAACAAATATATTTGCTATAAATATTATGTAACTTTAATATTTTTTTTTAGGTCTTATAGGTTCCTGAATATAGTTATTATCACTTACCTTTGATTAAGCCAGTGAGGACGACTGTGATAACTGTAAGCAGGTTGACAACAGTAAATATTTTGTTAAGAAAAGATGATTCTCTCATTCCCCATGCGATCAAAACTAAACAAAAATAATTAAATAAATAATCACACTTCAGTAATATATTAATATAATATAATGAATATTATGTACCTAAACTACCTAAAAAATATACTGCTACAATGGCAGATATAGCACCTAGCATTCAATCGGCCAATTCATAGTTTGAAGCAGATTAAGATAGATTTAATAGAAGTATTTTAATGTTCAATTTAACGTTCCTAATTTGAATGAAACGTATTAAAGTAGATATAACATTTGATATTATCATAGTATGAAAAGGCAAACAAATTATGTGATTAAGAAACGATCAAATACCAATATTATAATACATACGATGGAAAACATGAAGTGAACAATAAATGGAAAATATAATAAAAATGTTGGGAAAGTATATATACTGTCATGCAGATCCATTTAACAATCAATAAAAATCGTGAATCGGTGGTATTACAATCTATAATTTTTATATTGAAAACAAGTATAATATGTAAAATATAAAATATATTACACCAATAATCGACCATTTTGAAATTACATTATTTTGACAATATATATTTTTTTAATAACGTAAATAAAATCTAAATTCTACATCAATAAGTAATAACTGAAATTCGAAAAATTCGAAACCCTTCAGCTAAGTTTTTTTTTTTCAATACATACAATTTTAATTAAATAACTCAACAAAATTAGTTTTTGTAGTTGCGGTAATAATGTTGTCGTTGCAGGGAAAATTAAGCTGTCTAATCCATATTCTGGCGAGATCGAATTGAACACATTTGATAAAATAATAAACTTAGTAAAGGAAAAAAAATATCATTATAACAAAATATAGCTTGACCTTACAACTTGTAAAATATACTTTACTGGGAATTTAATTATAAATATTTGAAGACCATCCAACCTTAATAACTGTTCTCATATTGTCATTTGTTTTTAATAGATTGTTAGCAATAGCTTTATAATTTACAAAAAATTACAGGAAGATAAATCCAAAGATATAATTTTATGACTAGAAATTCTATTAACTCTCAAAAACTATTTTCACTTACCGATTTCTATATACCTACTATACCTACTATCATCTGAATTCAAAATATTAATGTTTTCATTATAATTTCTTAAATTATTCGTTTTAAAATGTTAATACTTACAAGTTAACATTAGTATAGATGTGAATGAAAAAAGATCCGGATATGGTGCCAAGAAATCCACATGCATTGGAAACGTTTGTTTAAGATATTCTCTCATTGGATGACCAAAGGGTTTATCAATATGGCCACTTAAAGCTCTCGCAATGCTGGCACATCCTAAAATATTTAGCATATAATATTAAGTTTAAATACCAATAATAACGATCTTTAGTTCCAATTTTTTTTTTTTAATGTTACATAATTAATTTTTTTCACGATGTCGTTAAAAAACAAATTATTATGTACTAAATTTGAATTACCTAATCAATGGATATACATTTAGATATGAGATATCGTAAACATATAACTATATTTGTACTCTAATAATTTGAATATAATGGTAGGTACCATAATTAGACGTATAGTAATTTTTTAATTAAATTATGGTTATCAAAACAAGAAAATTGATTTTTAAATAATCTCAACAAATGCGCGATAAGGTCATTTTCACATTTATACTCACCAATACTGTATTCTAATATTAAGTCCCAACCAATGAGGAATGCCACTATTTCACCAATTCCCACATAGCTGAATGCATATGCCGACCCAGCTTTTGGTACACGACTAGCAAACTCGGCATAACATAATCCTGGATAAAATACAATTTTTCCTAATTAGTTTTTTTTTCGTAAATATTATTTTTAAAAATCTTATAATCTATTCTTAGAAATTAAACGATTATGTACAGTAATTATTATACTCCACATAGCATTTTAATATCATTATAAATGATTAGGTATGTGTGTCTTCAACCTTTAACACATAATTATAAGACCTAATTATAAATACTCCACAATTTCCAATTTAAAATGATAGCTAATAATTATGTCTGTAGTAAAAAAGGTAGGTGAGTCAATTTTGTTCAAATTGATCTGTCATAATATACCTACCAACTTCAGTGTTTAATAGATGTAGACAACGCGAACCATTTCTTCATATTATGTACCAGGTCTATGTTTGTAAATAAATATTAAATAATAATGAATACCAAATCACTAAATAATTAAATTTAACAATTATTAATAGCCATTTTATTTATTTTTTTTTTTAACGTTACCTACAGGTTAACAATTATATTCATATTTTAAACTATTGTTATTTTCATACCAATAGTATCAATAATAATAAAGCAGACAAATACAAACAAATTGGATTGATAAATGCAAAAATGTTATTAAATTGAGAAGCCAGTGTTGTGAAAAAATTTAATTATAATGGTAATTATAGGAGAGCGATGATAAACAGAAATCTTACATTGGTAACCATTATAGAAAAAACGAAGAAGAAAAAAAAAGTTGAAATTGAAAAAGTGAAAAAAAAAGTATGAATCTTTCAGGTGAGAGGGAAGGGCAACCAAAAACTAGACGCTAAATATCAGAAACTGTAATAATTGGCAAATAAAGTGCAAGTGGAAAGAATGACCAAATGTTTTAAAATATTTAAAATTCCTCCTGCCCAAACCAACTCAAAAATAAAAATAACGTTCAAAATGCTTATGCCCCTCGGATAAAAATAATAGTACCTACCTATTAAATTTAGTTGTTCATATTTTTAAAAGGAGAATTGTTGTATAACTAGGTGCAATTGATAATACCATCTTAAGAGTCGAATGATTCAATATTAAATCTACTAAACTGGAAAGATTTGTAACACTGCAGTTTGGGTGGTGTTCAGGTCTAAAATTCAATGTATCCACATCGGCTCCCGTTTTCATTTCCCTCCTTTCACTGGAAGATGGCCGTACTTACCCAACTCATGGGACGCAATACGGCCACTAAATTGACACAAAGACCCGGAGCCGATACGGACTCATTAACTTCAAGCGGAAGCTGTTACGGTATCATCCCTAAAACTATCGTATGATTCTAATAACTATTTTATTTTCTGTAACCCGTGGCCACCCTAAAAATATTCGTTTTTTACCGAACTCTTAAAGCACCTCTTTAAAAATCGAAATTTAAAAATTGGCTTCGAGGTGCATGTCATTGGGTTTAGGTAAGTACCAAATTTCAGAGCCATGAGTGCGATAGACTTGGCTGTGGACGCATACACACACAAACACTGCCGTTTATTAAATATAGATAGATATACAAATGTATGTTTTACTCATAAACCTACTACTATAATATGACTATTTTAAACGGCAATTAATATACAAATATAATTTTCTTTAATAATAATATTAACTATGAATATTGTGTTCCAAAACAAATTACATTAATCTATAATTACCTGACAGCGCCGATGCTACAGCTGCAAAAGCAAATGACAAAACGACTGCGGGCCCAGTAAATTTAACCGCCACTTCTCCAGCTAGTACGTAAGCGCCAAGTCCAAGAGTTGAACCAACGCCAAGGGAAATCAAGTCTACCAGTCCTAATACACGGCTAAGTTGATTTTTCGTTGGCTCAGTGCTCAAATCGGATTCCTTTTTCCTTCTTAACATCGTCCTTATAAGCGATTGATCATTCTAAAGCCAAAGTTATTATAATTATTATTATAATATTTACATATCGTGTATATAATATATTGAGTATTGCAGAGTTAAAAAAGTTATATTGATAATATTATATAAATGAAATCGGAGTCACTTGTGTTCCATCAACAGTCATTTTTAGTAAGTACATAATATGTTATAAATAAAATAAAATATCAATAGGTACAATTTATCTAAAATTATTAAATAGTACACAACACAATCATTAAATATTTTGTGTTGGTTGAACTTATAAAGCCCTTTTAGATTAATAATAATTATGCTTCAATATTGTCTCACTTAAAAAAACGTAGACAATTATTTTTGTAACACTTGATATAGGTACATTATACAATATTCATGACGTGTATGTATAATATGTATCATATACCTATTATACTCGTACATCTGTGCATTTACTATAATATAGTATGGTATAGGTACTTATACCTACTATATACATTAATACGAACATTAAGAACGCATTGTTAAATAACTATAGTTAATTGCTTGAGGAGTAGAGAATTTCTAACATGTTTTGAATTCCAATCTATGTAAAGAAGCTATTGGTTTTGAATTCCTATTATTTTCCTAGGCCTCAATTAGTTAACATGCATAATCGATGGATTCAAAACTACATGGTAGGTACACAATACCTTTATAAAAAAAGCCCTGTGGTACAGTTAATGTTATCAAAAAAATTTTAAAAAAAAAACTATAACGCAATCATTTTATATAAGTATACCAAAAAAAAATAACATAAAAATGTCGTGATCTCACATAGTTGTATATTAATATTATCAATATTTAAGTAGGTGTTTCATTTTTCATTATTCACTCCGTAACGTAAATTGCAAATTAAAAATCAAGTACCTAAATCACACCTAGTAAAAGTATTTCAATAATTTCCTGTATTTCTCAAATAGGTATAGGATAAAATATATTTTATGTGTATTGTATAGTTAGATATTATAACCTAACTCTAAAAGTATTTTAGTATTTAAATTGGTTATTTATAAGTTGTAACTAATAAATTATTTCCGAAGTAATTATTGTTTCTGTTTATTCATCAAAATGTATAATAAATGTTTCATCACTTTCAAATTTAATTAACTAGGTATATCTATAGTATCACGTTAATATAAGTGATTTACTCTTTTAGTTATGGTTTTAGATCGGCGTTAAATTTGTTTGATCAGTATTTCTTATTTTATGATTTCATGAAGTTAGTTTAATAAACTTAGAACTAATAACATATATAACTACTAGAATAATTTTCAATATATTTCGAACAATAAAATTACATCAACCTCACATTTAAATATAATTTTTTTATTTTAAATTAAACATAATGATTCATGTGGGAATATGGGATATTAAAATTATATTACATACCTGCAGCCAAATTAAAAAAAAAAAATTATTTAAATTAATATAAATTTAGTTGAAATCAAACAATACAAATAAATAATAATTTATAATACGTTAATACTAATTTATTCAAATACAAATTAATTTGTACATTTAAGTTTTAAAAAATATAAAACTACACACCACTAGTCCATATAGACAACAAATCAAACATCCCGTCAATGTAACACTGAAGCGGGAGTGTTTCGAATGCAATGTTTTAATTATTTGACTTACAAGCAATTAAATGGACATCGTTTAAAGCATACACTTATTATAAAACTCGCATCACATAATTAAATTATTCTTTATACGTTATTATCAATGATTAAAAAAATTAAATTGTAAAACCACAATCAAAAATATTATGCACTTTAAAATTATAATAATTAATACAATTAATTAAAAAGGTTGAAATGTTCAATAAATATTTTATTTTTTTTTTTTGAAAACTAAGTAGGTATAATAGAAAAATAAAAACTATTATTATTTCAACCGATGTTGTAACATCCATATAATTATTATTTTATAAATAATTTTTTTGTTTTACATTTACATTCTTTTATCTAACCATTTTAAATATAATGTCTATTATAAATTATATTTTAAGTTTTAAGATAATGATTTGAAATTCTTAAACATATTTACATAAGCATTTATTTTAATTTTAAATTTAAATTTAAAGTCTGCTCAGATGCATATTAGCAATCGTTCAAGTTATCAGGAGTGGACTCAGAGATGATAATAATACGTTCTTACTCAGATGTTCGTACCTATTGTTTATTGGTCTGTAGGTAATATATATTATAGGTAACACAAAAAACATAGTTTGGGCTTAACTATTTTTGCAGATTAATACATTTTTTAAATTTGCTTTTGCCTTTAGATATACCTAACTACTGTTCAATTAATTTGGTCTTGATACGCTTCTGGGAATAGGGTGTTAGCTTAACAGTTTTTAAGGGTGGACAAATACTGAGTATCCTAGGGAATATTAATTCTGTAAGACAATACTCAATTACGGCAATTAAACTTCAACTACATACTAAAAAAAAACCCCCTTTAAGCAAACCCACCAAACAGTCAACTGATATCTTGTAATTAATTATTATTAATTTTTATTGACGTTTCACGTTTATCAATGGATATCATATATCATTTTCATTGGTATTATCTTAAGTTCAAATTTTTGAGCGTATGTTAAATTTATTGGCATGCGTCGGGATTATCATTGTCTTATGTATTAGGCACATTTATTTTAAATATTATACAATAATTTCAATAGTTGCTCAAAACGAAATGTCTAAAAATAAATTATGAAAAATTGAAAGATTTTATAAATGTTCTCGGCATTAGACATATAAAATATAGTTTCAAATGTTATTACTGAACTGCTAAAGAAAACGACAATGAAAAGGTTCAAAAAATTTAACTCTCTATATTCTATAATCCAATACGAAATATTAATTTGATACAAAATTATTATACAAAACATTAGTACTGAAATAAATAAATTATTAAAATTAAAATTCTTATTTGATGTGTATTAAATAAAAATAATTGTAAATAATCGAATAACCTATTTTCAAAATGTTTAACGAAACTCAATTAAGTCTTTGGACTCAGTAATTGGTTTGAAAATCAAGTTACAAAAATTTCAAATTCGTTGACCTTGTGAAAAATTAAACAATGTCATGATAACAAATTGGTTGAGTTTAATTTTTTATTTTAATTTATTGCGTCTTACATTCGTTATATACCTATATTTTATGGATGGTAAAAATATATCAGATTGTGTATATTTTACAAAATTTGAATATTGATTTTTAAAAGTGTATTGACACTTCAATTGACAGAACTACAATTGGAGATGCAAGGTCGATAAATGTTCTTTAGTTAGTATTTAAACAACGAAGCATGTGGAAATATAATATCATATATAAGTATGTATGATATTATGTACTAATATTGAACCTATTGTGACCAAAAATAATCATTTTTCAACTACCTACCTATTTAATTTGAAACACTTGTAATTGGTATTTTTTTGTTTGGATGTATAGCTACACACTTCTGATTAATTCAAATTAATATTTATTTTATAAATGTTTATTTCGTATGAATGAAAAAATAACTAACTATAGGTAGGTAGGTACTTACCAAAAAATATGTATACTACAATATTATAGATAGTGTACTCTGTTTACACTTTATTAAGTGTACACTTTACTGTTTTAGTTGTTCCTTAATTCATTAAATTATACACGGTTTGGCAATATGCATTATTTGTTTTTGAATTTTTTCTTTGTTTTTTGTATTAATTGAATTTATCTTATCAAATTATAATTGCATGCTAATACAATCTTTGCACACAGCGGGCAAAATAACTGCTTTTTACAGGATTAACAGCAAAAATCAATTGATAATCTAATATGACAACTCCGCAAATAAAAAACCAGTTTCAATTGCTTTATAAAGTTCTGCTCACTCTTTAACAATATTGTAAAATACAATACAGTAATAATAAGCTACCTACTAAAATATTTAACTGTTCTAAACAATTTTTTTTTTTTTGTAAAATCATACGCAATACAATACCTACATAGTTTTTAAAGTTTAATGTTATTTATTAGATAATTTTGCTCTAACACTATCAATTTCACCGTTTGTCAGTCAAGCTATCCGTAATACTTGTTTACCCAACTCGAGATAACTTGTTTGTTCCATATACAGAAAACAAAAAAAAGTGACAATTTTATGCATTGGGCAATTACCCAACTAGGATTATACATCATACATAATATAGGTTTAACGTATAAATTATAAATGTATAATATTGAGGTATATAACCTCTCACACGGATAGAGCCCTAGCTTATTCTCTTTGATCTCATATATACATATAAGTATATAATAATGACTTAATCAACTTAAAGAATATCTCACAATAACGCATGACTATATCAATCATATTATATTCTTATCAGTGGCACAACTAGGCACTTGGGGGCCCTAAAGTCAAATATAAAATGGGGCCCCCTAAAAAAATGTAAACAATTAAACAATTAAAGGTACGAGGTACACCACTTCTTCCCCACCCACAAGGTTATCAAAACCTTTCCATCGTTAATTATAATATGTATTATATAATAGTATGTATAATAAATATATAAAAGCGAAATGGAAATCTTTGTTAAAGGGTTGGCTCCCAAAATGCATGACCGATTTGGCTGATTCTTTTTTTTGATGTGTTCGTAATTAATGAAGGTTAATATGAAAGAAAATTTTACGAAAATCCACCGGAAAAGTAGAAAACTTGGAAAGCAGAAAAACAATAGTGGCATCATCTGTCCAGCAAAAAAAAAATGCATTAAATAATAATAAAATAAAAGTTTTACTATCCAATTTCTTGCTAATTTATTTACACATTTAAACCATTTTTAACGGACAACGAAGTGCATGGGGTCAATTAGTAATTTCATAACATTAAAAAAAGTTGTATAAACTAACTTTTTTTTTTTAAATTACAAATTTATAAAATAGAATAAGTGTTAATATTTC